AGTTAAACATAACCCCAGGCCTGATGCTCCCCTGAGCACTGGAAGGTGAGTATGACCCAATGGCCCTGTGCACCTGAGAGATGGAGTCTGTGGTCTGGGTGGAGAGAAAAATCCTTTAAAATGCAGCCAGAAAAGACCTTTGGCTGATGAAAAGAACTCAGGAGGCAATGAGGGAAATGGTGACACTTAGTCCCCTTGCCCAAAGCTGCAACAAGAGTTCTGTGATTTGTATCTGAGTTTCTGAACACACAGATTGGGTTACAAGTGATGAGAAGCAGGATTGAGGAACACCAAGGATGGGGAGTTGGATGGTTTGAAACCAAGGTATAAGGAGGAAATGATGCATTTGTTGAAATTGCACAGGTGAACACATTCCCCTCACCTTTAAACATTGAAACCACTCACCACCCACATGACCACAAATATGACCACATGGGAAAAGGGGTTTGCCAGCTCTATTTCACTTTATGGACTAATCTACTCCAACATTTATAATGTGCAGCTACTGCATGTCAAGGAGTTTGCTAGCCCCTGGAAATATAACCATAATTATGACATAGTCCTTACCCTCAGACTGGCTCCTTTTCTAGTGGGAGAGATAGAAAGCAAGAGGCAACTTCAATTCCTTGTGCTCAGTACTGAGAGGGGCTGGATAGGATTCTTTGGGACTATACAGGACTGTCATTTATTTCCAAACTTGGTGGCAAGATGACCTCTTCTGCCTTGCAGTGCTTCCCAGAAGAGCTAGTATGCAACAGAGTCTAAGCAGACAATATTCCATGCAGTGAATTGCCTTGCAGCCATGCCTTTAAGACTGTACTGACATGGATACTGCAATGACATTAAGAAAATACCTGCTTGAATCCATATCTGGCACACAAATACGAAGTAATGCACTCTGGACACCTGGGAAAACCCTGACCATCTAACGTGGACCAAAAAATAGGACAATGAGGAACATCGGCCTTCTTGGAGTCAGCAGAAAAAGAGCAGAGAAGGATGGTATTGACAATATTAAGAGAAAATTCATAGTAAGCTCTTAACACATTTTATAAGTGTTACTGCATCAATTTTTCCAACAATCCTATGAAGAAGGAGCAATCCTTATTTTCATTTCATAGATCAGCAAACTGAGGCTCAGAGAGGTCAAACAGCTTGGGGGGGCTTAGCATCACACAAATACTAAGTGGTGGGTGCAGAATTCAATCTTAGTTCTTATCCCAGGGTTGCTGTGAGGAATAAATAAATTAATACTTGCAAAGTGCTAGGAACAGGGTTCAAAATGCAGCCAGTACTTGATAAGAGTTAACCATGAATACTAACACACATAAATCTCTTCCACAAATCTCTTTCAAGATAAATGATATTGCCTCAAATAACCAACCTAATGCAGAACCCACAATGATTAAAGGCACTAATTATCTCCCTCCAAAGGAGAAAAGAAATGAGGTAGGAGCCTGCCAGCTTCCTCTGTCCAGCCAAGCCTCAGGCTAATGGTGAAACAGGAACATGGTGTACATTGCTAGGCACCCTCCTGGAGAACTCCCAACCATTACCCTTCACTTTTCCATCTATTTGGATGTCTCAGTGGTACCCAAATTAAAAAACGTTCCTTGTTCAAAATACTCTTGATTCCCACATCAGCAGGAAAGTATATGAACTCTTTTTTTTGTGGGGAGGGAGGGGTGACAGGTGAGATTTGGTGAACCAAACTTCCCACTGTTTTTCCCAAGATGTAGATGCTCTGGGTGCTGGGGAAAACAGGCATCTATATTCTTTCTTAACAACAACAACAACAACAACAACAACAACAACAACAACAAAAAAGCACTGTCTATAAAATCCATTATTTATTTTTAGTAATTTGAATTGTTGTTTAATTTTCTACCTTGTTTACCTATCCTAATCTCTTTATAGGCTTTTGACACCCAATAGGATTTCTAAAAGATTGTTATAACCATGAGCAGTGGGACTGAATGTTGATCTATAGTTGTCTTTTTATTTTAACTTGTTCTCAGACAATCTACTTTAAAAAACTACACCTGACGCTGTTTCACCATTGGCTAATAAATGCTCCTAAGTGCACCCCACCCTTATTTCAACAGATCAAGGCTGGGATATTTCAAAGATGAGAAATAAATTAAAACTGTATGAGAAAGAAGCGATCATTACTGTGATCTTGAAAATGAGAATGATAAGCAGGCATTTTTGTGTTATTTCTTTGAATAACTCAAAGTAACATTCAATTAAGCCTGTGAAGTGAATATGAGAGAAATGTTATTAGGTGTATTTTTCTCATGAGGAAATAAACATGGAGAAAAGTGACTTGCTGTTGAGAATACACAATGTAGTCAAGCAGAACTTGTAACTACATACAGACTTCACAGTTAGTCAGTAAATGTGACAGTCAAACATCCAGAAGCATGCATTGAAACAAATAAAATGAAATAACCCATTAGTCACACATGGCTGCCCTTTATTGGGCAAAAACTCTGGACTTGCCAGAGTCCCTGCCACTTCTTGCTCATATGGGATGGGGTCTTGGTTGCTATTCTTGGTCTTTACTTGACCTACAATAGCTAGTTCTATTGCCTGCCTGAAGATAAGATATAAGACCTCCTGTCTACAAAAATATAGTTGTTGCTAGGATCCTTGAGGCTAGTTGCATGAAACAGAGGCAGGAGAAAGGGAGCTAAAGATCAGTGATCTAACATAAATTGAAGGCTTCTTGGGAGAGAGGGACTTGAGCCTGGCCTTGCTGGAGGGAGATTGGTGAGGTGGAGAAGGAAGTGGGAGGTAGCAGAGAAGGCAGAGATTGCAACAGGGCTCAGTAAAGGATTTGGTAGGGTAAGGCTGGGCTTGGTTATCTTCTGATTTCACCCATTACTAGCCCTGGGTCTCTGGGAAGGTCTTTTACCTTGATTTTGATTTCTTTTTTTTTGTTGTTGTTGCTTTTTGTTTTTGTTTTTGTTTTTGTTTTTTTATTCGACACAAAGCATATTCTTTGTACAAACAAAACCCTCCAACTCGCAGCCACCGAGGCCTCAGGTACCAGGATCCAAAGGAGTGAGCACACGGGTCCTTCGGGTGAGGGGGCCTGGGTGCCTAGAGGGGGCTCCTGGTTTACAGACCCTGGGCCCACCCTGCAGGCCAGCTCTGGTTGACGTCAAAGCAAGAAATCAGATTTTTAAAAACAACAGGACTCTGGAACATGAGGTTAAAGATCAAACAACAACAACAGAAACCCTTGCTAGAGACTTTTATAAAAAGGCCTACAGCTTTGCCACCCAAGTGTGTGGGGTCCGTCCTGCTGGGATGGGGCCCTTTCAGCCCCAGGCGCCTCCTCATTCTCCACAGACGCCACTGGAGACACACGGCGACCCTTGGACAGACGCCTCTTTCCACGAACAGCAGAGAAGTGGTCTCGGTTACAGAGTCTCGTGGAGCAAAAGAACAAGGAGACTCTGAACCCGGGTTTCCATCTGATCCTCCGTCTGCAGACTGCCGGCATCCAGGTGAGAATCAGAGGAAACTGACTACCTGAGGGCAAAGGTCACCTGAGGCTCGCCACCTGGACATCCATCAGAGACCAGCAAGGACAGGCACTCAAACTCCACGTGTACAGACCCATTCCTGCTGCCTTTCCTCAGCGTGTTGGAGGGACACGCAGAAGGAATGGCCAGGGCCAGGGCCGCACCCACCCTGTTCCTCCTGGGCGGAGGGGGGCTCCCATGGCGACCTGGGGGTGGTTCTCCGTAGCAACCTGGGGGCTCCCATGGCGACCTGGGGGTGGTTCTCCGTAGCAACCTGGGGGCTCCCATTGCGACCTGGGGAGGGGGGTCCTGCCCTCCTGCATCTCCAAGGGCCCCAGGCCGACACCGGCAGAGGTGAGGAGTCACACACCTCCTCTGAGCAGAGACGTGGATTCGGCACTATTTCCCTAAACCTTCACTCTAGGCTCAGAATCAAACAACAGTTTCATGCAAATTCATTTTTTTTTGAGTCCCATTGAGGCACAGTTTAGATCAGGGGTCCTCAAACTTTTTAAACGGGGGGCCAGTTCACTGTCCCTCAGACCGTTGGAGGGCTGGACTATAGTTTAAACAAAACTATGAACAAATTCCTATGCACACTGCACATATCTTATTTTGAAGTAAAAAAACAAAACGGGAACAAATACAATATTTGTATTTGCATGTGGCCCGCGGGCCGTAGTTTGAGGACCCCTGGTTTAGAGCTTTAATCCAACCTTTAATTGGCCTGAAAAGTATACTTGTGTTCAATGACTGGAACCTCCTCAGATATGAGGAATGAATGGATTCAGAGCTTTAGGAAGTGACTATAACAGGTGTGTGTGTCCATGTTAGATGTCTGTTTCTTTTTCCCTTGCCAGGGAGGACACCCTCGGTTTATCCACCTCTTTTCTGTGGTGATCGTTTCGTTTCAGGTTAACTGAATGGTGAGCGGGAAAAAAAGTGTGAACTTAATATGACACAACCCAACAGAAGGAACACGCGCACGTCAGGGCTTCGGCACCTGCTCTGGGGCGATGGCCCTGCTGGCTTCTCACAGCCGAGCCATGGACGCCCTCGGAAGGGATCCCAGTGAGTGGGTGGGTGAGGTTTGGACCAGCCTGCACAAGCGAGAGGAAGGGATGTCCCGGAGGCTCCAAAGATGTAAATACACAAAACAAACCCCAAATGCCAGGGCGGCCCCCAAGGAGCGTGAGCAGGGAGAGCAGCGCCTGTGCCGGCTCCAGCAGCTGGCCGCATGCCAGGCAGGTGAGCGGCGCCTCCAAGGGGCGTCCACAGGCGTCCGCACACCCAGAGGTGGGGCTCAGGCGAGCCTCTCGAGGAAGAGGCACCGGTCCATTCTCTGCAGCCAGAGACCAGAGAGCTCCTGACGCAGGGGAAGTGGGCCCCAGCGGTGCTCGGCTTCCTCACCCTCTTCCGAGCTCCACCCCTGGGCGTCTGCTCCCATGCCGGGCGTCCCGTCTCCCTTTCCATCGTCACCTCGTCATCTCGGGGCGCCCCTCCTCTCTGAGAAAACCAGCAAGGCCTCTCCCAGACCACCGAGCAGGAGGCATCCCACGGCCTCCCTGGTCAGGACGCCCTCGAACAGCAGCACTGAGGAGTCAGCTGTGGCCACCTGAGCCAGGAGCAGCCAGGCCGCACACTGCCCGGGGGCCACCAGGCTCTTCAGCTTCACGGCGCTGAGTGTGAGGAGGAACCCCAAAAGGCCACTGGCGCAGCAGCTGCTGTGGAATCTGTAGACATACAAGAAGGGGAAGTCCAGGGCGCAGAGGAGGTCATCTGTGGGATGCGCTGCGGCTGCCAGGAGCGCCATGCTGAATATATAGTTTAGGTACTGCTGGTCGATGTCACTCAGCGCCCTGGGCTTCAGGGACGTCTGGAGAATCTTACAGGCCCCTACACTGAGTAAGTGAATTACAGCCCAGAAGTACCCATCTGGATCAAACTGGGCATCATTAAAGGGGAGGCTCCCCGCAGCGGACAGGAGCAGGAGGGCACTACAGATCTTGGCAGGAGGCCTTTTCTCTTTCCGAAAACACATTCGGTGCCCACAGACGATGACTTCAGCTGCATTGTGCAAAGTGAGAAACACAGGAATGGCCAGTCTGGATAATGCTCTGGAACCGGCATAGATTATGCCCACAAACAGCACCAAAGCAGAAAGCCACGCCAAAACATCAGATCTTGAACTGCTGTTGATCTCCACCCAGACCAGTTTCCATGACACATGAAGCAAAAGTCCACCAACTAACGTCTGCCACCCTTGGAACAACGAAGGGCAGGTAAATTTCAAGACAGACAGGACGTACTTGTTGGTGAGGTGGGCCGCCAGGTAGCAGGTGCAGAAGGCCAGGCCCACCAGGCGCCCCCTCCAGCTCATCTGAGGGCGGCCGGCCCCCGGGGACCCTGACAGCCCGCGGCCGCCGGGCCAGAGTTGGGCCGCCGCTGCCGGGCCGATTTTGATTTCTTATCCTATATAATAAAAGCCTAATATGCAAATTGTTCCACCAGGAGTTCGATCGCTCGCTATGATGTGCGCTGACCACCAGGGGGCGGTGCAGAACATGGCTGGCGTTGGCAACACAGTGCTGATAGCAGGCAGCAGTGGGGTCCCTGCCGGCCTTGATGGGCCCCTATGAGAGCAGCGGGATGGTGGGGATGGTGGGGATGAGTGGGCATCCCTAAGCTAAGGTGGATGGGAGCAGGGGCCCAATCGCCCCACCAATCGCCCTGCAGACAGTGAACAGCGGCAGTGGCAGGGGTCGGGGCTGCCACCCAGCTCCCAGGTGCTGAAAGAGCTGGGCCGGGGGTTGGCGGGGGCGGCCCCGACCTATTGTCCTACAGACACTGACCAATGGCTGGCAGGCCCTGATCGCCTGATTGGAGCTGGGCCCCAGGCTGGGATGGGGAACTGGGTGTGGGTGGTGGCGACCAACCTCTCCTGGCACTTGGGTGGTGTGTGTGTGGGGGTGCAACCTCTCACTGGCTACTTGGGGTTGGGGGTGATGGGGATGGAGGTATGGTGAGAATGCGAGGTGTTCACCGAGCTTGCTCTCACTCCCCCTGCTACCCTCCCCTGGACGCCAGGGCTTGTGCCCCAGGGAAGCCCCCATGCTCAGGTGCCAGGTGCCTGAGAGGAGCCTGCCCTGCACCCGCAGGGCCTCTTCCGGGTGAGCCAGGCCACAGCTGCCAGGACCGCAGGGTCTGGTCAGGCTCCCCATGGGTTTGCACAGGAGCCAGTCTGTGAGGTTGGCCAGCTTCCATGTGGCACTGCTGGGTGGCCCAGAGGCCCATGCTGCACCCCAGTTTGTGGCATCTGGCCATGCTCACTGCATCTCCACATGGGGACTCGGGCACCGTGACTCAAGCAGAGGGGGGTCTGCAGGGTCCCGGGGGCCTGGGTATTGCCCAGGGCCCACACATTAGCTGGGACCTGCTCTTCCACTCCAGATGCTTGTGCTTCGATCACCAGCTAGGCCTAGGGACTGCACCTGTGCACAAATTTCATACACTGGGCCTCTAGTAATAAATAATTTTGATGTGTTTAAAAAAACTGTCAAACTAAAGAATATATACTTACTATGTAAAGATAATGGAAATTGCCACAAATTTAGCTTCTTGAGATGGCACCTCAGGCCATGAAAGTGCACTCAGAGCAGAACCACTCAGTGATTAAGCATGCTGGATTCCTTGTCCTGGCACCTGAGCTGATGGACAGAGTCTTTTCATAGCAGTTTGGGAATGAATGCAGAGGAGAGACTGTGGTCTCCAAGGAGGACCAGGCAGCCTGGGTAGAGGCTTCTTCAGTTCTCCCTTGAGTCACACAGGTTCCTTGTTGACCTGGGCAAAATCAGTCTGGCCATCGCCTCATGTTTCCCGTCTGCAAACGGTTGCTAATGATGATACCAGCCCACAGGGTGTGGGAACTTTCATAACTTATGTTTGTCACCTGCTTTCAAGGTCAGAGCACTCCTGCTGTCCCTGAGAAGTCAGTTTCCTTAGGAAACAGTCCACCAGGTGGCTGCCCTCCACTTGACAGGACAATATTTTCCCATGTTTTCATCTCGCAGAAGAGAGGGGCTTATTTAATTAGCAGGTTGTGTTTTTCTGAAAACAGCTTCTATAAATCAGCAAAGAGGCTGCAAACTCACTCTGTATCATTATTTGTCTTTTCCACCAGCTAACATTTGCAGTCTGTTACAAGTCATAAATTCCTGAAAGATAGATGTACTGAGGGGAAGCCTAAGTGGCAACTGTGACAAGCCATTAACTATTTCTGCTGAAATTGAAATTGAAAACCTTACAAGAAACAGCTGCAAGATTATCAGGGCAAAATAGTAGTAAACGCTAGAGAGAGTGGAGGTCTAGAGAGATTATGGGGCTTTCCACGTTGTGTTTCTATTTTCATGACTATGACATGGGCTGATAGTCCTCGGCTGTCCCTATGCTTCCCTGGCATATGGCATGGGCTGATGCTTTCACGTATGTCCATTGTTTCAAAATCTTTGCAAGGTACAAACACCAGCTGTTTGCTCATAGGAGGCCCACAAAGTTTTCCACCTCCTGGATGGCACTTTGGAGCAGCTGGGATGACAGTTCTTACCGCCCCTGAGGTGGTTTTGCTAGTCAATTTGTTTGTATTGTCCCTCTGCATAGCACTGTGAGATCCATGGGGACAGGCACCTCATCTCTTATTTACTGTGGTACCCTCACTGCCGGGGACTGACCTAGTACATGTCAGTGGCTTAATAAATGCTTCAGAAATAAATTACTGCTCTCCTCCCTCTATTACTGCTCCAATGAGCAGAGGATGAAGTGTCTGTATCTGAAGTGTGGGCAGAGTCATATCCTCCAAAAAGATAAATTCAAATTCTAGCCCTGGCACTTGTGAATGTGACCTTATTTGGAAATAAGGCCTTTGCAGATGTAATCGAGTTAGGAAGTCATGCTGGATTAGGATGGGCCCTCAATTCAATAATCGGTGCCTTTAGAAGAAGAAGGAGATTTATTTTATTTACTAGAGGCCCTGGTGCATGACATTCATGCACTGGGGGGAGTCCCTCAGCATGGCCTGCACCCTCTCGCAGTTGGGGACCCTGAGGGGTCCTTAGTGCTGCTGTGGAGGTGAGAGAGGTTCCCGCCACCGCTGCTGTGCTCATCAGCATGAGCCTGGCTTCTGGCTGAGCAGCGCTCCCCCTGTGGGAGCACACTGACCACCGGGGGCAGCTCCTGCATTGAGCGTCAGCCCTCTGGTGGTCAGTGCACGTCATAGTGATCAGTTGTTCTGCCGTTCAATCTATTTGCATATTAGGGTTTTATTATATAGGATTTTTTATTGTTGATAGTATTACATATATCTCCCATTTTCCTCCCTTTCCTTCCCCTCTTTCCAGCCCCCTCAGATCTTCACTACCTTATTGCCTGTGTCCATGGGCTATGTATGTAAGTATATAAGTTCTTTGGTTTATTTCTTCTCATCCTCCCAACCCCACATCAAGGTATGTCAGTCTGTTCATGCCTCCATGCTTCAGGTCTTATTTTGTTGCTCAACTCATTTTGTTCATTAGATTCCACAAATAAGTGAGATCATGTGATATTTGTCTTTCTTAGTTTGGCTTATTTCACTTACTATAATATTTTCCAGGTTCATCCATGCTGTCCCAAAGGGTAAGAGATCTCACTTTTTTATAGCTGCATAGTATTCCAATAGTGTAAATGTCCCAGAGCTTTATTTATCCATTCATCTACTGATGGGGAATGAGAGGGAGGACCTCTTCACCATGACTTGCAACATTGGGAATGAATGCCCCCTACCCCTCACCTAAGGCCCCTGCTACAGAGCATGGCAACCTGCTTCCACTCACAGCAGATCTGCCACAGTGGCGACAGGTGGATGGGAAGTGAGGAAGTGTGTGGAATGTACTGAGGCTGCCCTTTGTGCTGAGGAGTCCTCTGATCTTTGCTGTCTGCCTGGTCTCTGATCATCGCCACCTGTAGTCCTCCACATGCCAGGAGACAGTTCCCCTGGTTACCTTCACTTGCTAGTCACTGCCACAGATACCACCTGCTGTTCATGTACTGCCTACCCTTCCTTTTGGAGCTTGGAGTTCTTACTTTGTGTAGTCCAGTGAGACCAAGGGGTCTGTGGCCTATGCGTTAAATATGGGCACTGTGTTGTGGGCACTATGGCCTGTGCATTAACTATGCTTTAGGACACTTCCCTTCAGGTCAGTTATAATCACCAAGGCCCAAAGATTCAGCGAAAACAGTACACCTTTTGCTCTGAAGTACATTTCTTCCTGTGACTCAGGAATATTAAAAAATTCAATTCCAGTGATTCTGAAACATCACTGGACCTTGATTCTGATTGTCAGCTTCCTAGGAACACTCCACCCACTCTGGGGCAGGGTTCTCAGGCTTGTTTGGGTGACAGAGCCTGTGAGGGTCTGCTGATGGCATGGAGTCTCTCCCAAGACAGGTGAACATACAGCATCCAGAGGCCCTCATGCCCTGGGTCTCCAGTTAGGAGCCTCTGACCACCTTCTCCCATGCCGAGGGAAGCTGCTTGATTCTCCCACTGACTTTTCAGAAGAGGAGGGGGTGTGATGGGGTCCTAGCCTCTGGGTTCAGGAAGACTGCAGAGAAGCCCTGGCCTTCAGTTGATCTCATCTGACTCTTTTTCCTTTCTTTACATAGTTCACATAAAAACTGCTCTCCTGGGAGGAGGCTGAGATGGGGCAGGAGAATAGCACAGCCTTCCCTGAAGACCAGCTGAACAAGTAGAAACACTACGAGTCATGTAGTTCTCCCCATGGAACAGGCAGCCTGCACCAAGCCTTCCTCTCCATTCCCACAACCTCCTTAGGTCCCCAGAGCTCCAACAGCACAGCCCAATGGGAAGACACTCTGCCATCAGACCCACCTGAGCTTCAGTTGCACATAGGGACCTTCCTCTTACTAGTGATGACCCCCATCAGGAGAGTTTCTCCACCTGGGAAGCAATAGGGAAGCAATACCTGCCTATTAGGGCTGAGTGAGGAGAGCATCCCAGCAAAGGAGCTAGGGCAGTGCCCATGCATTGTGGGTTCTGCATGGAGAGTATCTGTTGCTCCATGTACCCACCTACATTAACCCTCAAACAGCAGACTCTAAAAGCTGCTTCTCCTGCTGTCAGCTTCATCTTAAAATAATGTCACTTCCATCATCAAAAACCTTCTCTAGGAAATACACAAAAATTCCCAAATCCTTTACTCTGGTTGGTCAGATTATGGATAAATTGCTGCTTTTTGTTTTGTTTTGATGTGTTTCTATCTCTTCTCAATGACCAGGAAAAAGTGGAAAACAAGCCTCTACCACTTCCTTTTTCACAGTGGTAAGACAGTCCTGTGACCATCAGTACTGACCCTAGTTGAATTTGTC